TAAGACACTACAAATTCTTTTACACCCTCAAATTGAATTAAGGCAGTTCAAATAATTTTCTGATGCACTGGCTTTACCATGCGCTGACGTCGTAATTTCATTATTATATCTTTTAAGTTCATTAAGCGTATTCGAAGATGTTGAAGCTGTCGTCTCTGAAGTTTAATAATACGGTCCTTATTCTTTAATATTTTTTGACTTTTTATAAGTTTTCTACGCAGTGTTGCTGGAGAAGCATCATAATGATGATCATGGATTATTGAGCTTATAATTTCAGTATTATCAGATATCGATAACTTGTCTGCATTTTCTTCTGTAAAAAATTATTTCATACTAATTACAAAAGTTTTAAAAGTTTTTTTTTTAATTACTTTGAATCAAAGTTTTTCTTACATATGTTTGGATGTCGAAAATGATACCACAGCAGTAATTTATCATTATAGATAAAAAATACATTTCATAAGGAATAAACAATACATTCGTGACTTCAAATCAAATTGCAAGATAAAGTTTACTTTTTTTTTTACAAGAAAATGTCAAATATTGTTTAAAAAAATCATTTTTTAAACATTAAATCTTAATTACTTTGGAACTTGACATTCTGGAATTTTTTAGCTTGCAATATCACAATTTAGCATTCAAAATTCTATAGGAAATACTTAATCTTGTTCAAAATAATTTTTTGTTGTAAATTAGTGTTATGTTATTGTATATTATTATGTACCATTACTTTCAATGTTTATAATAAATGATTCTTCAGAAATAAACATATTCTCATTCATAGAAGTATCATTCAAATTTACAAGGAAACACAACCAAGTGAATCTCTCCGATTTAAATGAGCTTGTATGTTGTTCTATGGACAAAAAATAGACACGTATTTCTTTATAAGTGACTCCTATTTTTGTCTATAGAACAATATACTAAAAGTTCATTTAAATCGGAGAGATTCACTTGGTTGTGTTCCCTTGTTAGATCTAAAAAAAAAAGAATAAATTAATGAATTCTTTAACTTCTAATAAAACAAAAGTTACCTCCTGAGTGTTGCTTTCTTAATTCATTGCAAGAAGCCTGTTGTAGAGTATCAAACTCATCATTATCATTGAAGTGTATCTTCTGATTAAATTCTGTTTCATAAGGAGGAATTATTTCTGTTGATATGGTAACAATTATAAAGAATATAACTTTATTAAAATTTTATTTTAATAATTGAAGAGAAATTCATAGAGAATATAAAAGTAAAGCTTTTACCTGACTTTATATTGTTGAAATATTCAACCTTAAATATTGTTGGAACACTTCCCTCTTTTAGTTTCAAATATTTCCCTATCTTGCGAAAACAAGTTTCTTCAAAATGTTCCGAGCATAAAAGACTGCTGTTGTTTGGAATCCAATTCTTGATTCCAATATTATCAAGCCACTTCTTTAAAAGATCTGATTTGTCTACTGGAAACCTTGGTTTATAATGCATTAAAATATTAGTAAATATATATTAAATTATATTTATAATTATAAACATTTATTAAATCTTACTTGAAAAAAGAATATCCTGATTTATATATACGCTTTCGTTTACAATATATACAATAGGAATGAGGAGGACTATCAAAACGTGTTGGAATGCTGTTAGGTTTTAATCGTACTTTAAATGCTGAACGCTCAAAACAATCTTCTGTAAAATGGTTAGAGCATAAAATGGCAGAGTTAGTTGGTGTCCAATTTTTTGTAGGAAAATTATTTATCCACTGTTTTAAAAGACGTTGATCTTTAAGAGGAAATCTACAATAAGAGTATATACAAAGTAATTATTCAATTTGATTATATACTTCAAATAAGACAAAGATAACCTTTATATTGTAAGTATAATGTAAATAAAGCAATACAATACTCTTACTTGTGAAATGTTACTCTAGATTCATGAGTTCTTATGATATTACAAAAGCAACATCTTCTCATTTTCACAAAATTTAAAAGGCAAACTTTTTACATTAATAATTTGATATTTCTCCTTTACCCTCTCTTCTAAATACTCTAACCAAAATACTAGAGGTTAGGTAACAATTTCCATAAAAAGAAAGACAATCATGATGGAAGAAACCCATATGTGTATCGTGTATTTTTAAGGCTGTGTTCCAAAATTGACTACCATACTGAAAATCTATAGTGCACGTAACGTAAATTATAGCATTTTCAGTGCTGGCAGTAAATTTGGAAAACGGTTTAAATCAGAAGAGCGATAGTCAGATGCCGCCATTTTGCCGCGGTTATTTGAAGTTGCCATTACGTTGTTATTATTATACATATTTTTTGTTTTTAATCATATGTGTATACTTACAATAATTTAATTTTTTCTTATGCAATAATAAAAATTGAATATAAAACATATATTAAATAGAACGCACTCTCTATCAATTTTGATATACAGTAAGCTCTATACATACTGGAGTTAGAGGTTAGTGGTTCATTTGCACATTATAGCAATTGCTCATTGCCAATCACAGTGACTTCTGTGTAGGGAGTTTTTTTTTAGCGCTGTGATTGATTGTGCGCATTTAGCTCGTATGCAATGCAACGTATGTTAACGATGTAGGGTATGAAAAGTATTATTAATGTTATTTTATTGAATGTACTAATAAAATTGAAGTGATATTATTTTTATTTTCATATCATTCATGTCCATATAGATTTCCATACATCGATCGATACATCGATCGCAGCGCATGCGCGAAGCATGCGCGAATGCTTCTGATTTAAAATTACTGGCTCTCATTATGTTTCTAGAAGTTTCCTGTAAACTAAAATGTGGTATCTTTAGACTTGTCTCAACTTTAGATTTTAGATGATTCCTGGTGTTCTAGCTCGACAACAAAATAGGTAAAGACAAAAGTCATTATATTATTTTTAATAATGGATAGAGATGTAGAAGAACAAACTGATAATACTGATAATGTAATGAAATTGTCACATGAAGAAAAGGTTAAGAGAGCCGAAATTAAATTAATATCATTTTTTGTTGAACATGATATCGATTTTCACGTTGCAGATAAATTAATTTTATTATTGAAAGATATCTGTACAGATTCTAGGATTGTGCAAGATTTTTTACCAGGTCAAATTAAATGCGCAGAAGATATTGAAGAAATGATTCTAAAACGTGAAGACAAAGAAATTATGAATCAATGTTTACAGTTAAGTAAATTTTCAATTTTAATTCTTGAAGTTTATAAAAATGATCGTATAAATAATCCGTACACAGTATTAATCGTTCTTGTTCGATATGTTTCGCCTTTAAATAAAAAAATTGTAATGCAATTATTTATGCATTCAGTCACATCTTATTCCGCAGATGATTCAAAGAGAAATGAACAATTTGAAATTTTCAAATGTTTTAGAAGAAAAAAAAATTCCTATTAGGAATATTGTTGGATTGGCATATGATAATTTTTATAATTCTATGTCATCAGTTATAGTTGGAAGCAATTCTTTTATGCAACATTTAAAACAAGAAGTACCGAAACTTGTAACCTTAAATTGTATTTGCCATTCTTTCACATTTTTAATCAGAAAAGCTTGTGAAAATAGCTTGCCTGTGTCTTGTGAAATTTTGATGAACAAAATTTTCACTTATTCTTTGAATAATGTAGAAAGATGTGTACTTTTAGATGACATTTATGAATTATTTAATTTGGAAAAGAAGTTAAACTTCCCATGGATTGTTTTAGAAAACTGTGTTATTAAAATTGTTGAAAATTGGGAAGATCTACAAAATTATTTTGCAATAGTAGAAGACAATTCTGTAGAATTGATTTTATCTCAATTAAATAATAATATAACTAAAGCGTATTTTTTGTTTTTAAAATATGTATTAAATCTTTTTAATTGCTTCAATGCTTTATTTCAATCGTCTAAAATTTTAGTACATAAATTATTTGAAAGTAGTCGGCGAATAATTCATCAATTAGTGCAGAATTTTATGACTCTTGATACATCAATGTATAATGATTTAGATGTGAATAATGAGGAATATATATTAAATTTAGATAATATATACTTAGGATCAGAATGTGAACATTTTGTAAAATCATTATCTTTGCCAGATAGACAAGAAGTAAAATTAACAGGTTTAAGTTTTTATAAAGAGGTAACTCAAGAATTGCTAAAACGTTTACCATACAGAGATTTTCTCGTGGAATATTTAACTTTTTTAGAACCAGAAATTGCTCTTTATGCTAAAGGTAGACTTAAATTTAGAGATTTAACATATATTGCCATGATTGTAGAACATAATATTGATATTATTAAATTAGCTTATGAATGGAGAATTTTACCATTAATGTTCAACGAACAACAGAAAAAAGAATTAGCCTGTTTGGAAATTGACGAAATGTGGAGCAAAATAGTGGAATGTAAAAATTATAATAAGGAAAAGATCTTTCCGAATTTAGAATTATTGGTTGAAGTAGCTCTTTCTTTTCCTTATTCAAATGCCAAAGCTGAACAAATTTTTTCAGATTTAGAAAAGCATTCGCTTTAATATATGATATTATTTTTTGTAATTCCTATAAATAATAATGTTTTTAAAATATTTTTTTAAGTACTTTTTAATAAAATTAATAATTAATTTTAAAATTAATGTATTTAATTTAATTTTAAAATTAATGTATTTTTAAATTATATTATGTATTTTATGTACTTTTTATTTTATAAAAATTGGAAAAATGACATTTTCATTCTTAAATTATAAGTGGAGTATATAATTTTATGATTAAATCAACTTATATACATATGTATATTAATAAGATTTTCGGCAGTTTTTCTTGCAGCAAATGTTGGTAGATTTATGAGATTCTATCAAACAAAATATTTTAATTTATAAATTATCTCACTATCTTTTTCCAATAATATTTTCGATACAATGATACTATCAACAATATTATCACATACAAATTATTAAATTTAGATTTTTTTTTTTATGAGAATGAATTTAAAATCGTGTGTTGTAATGAATTAATTCCACTTAAATCTCTGTGGGAACATTATTTTGAAGACAAATCTTTTTTTCTTATAATATAGATTGTTAGAAATAAATTACAATCTTCTTACACATGTCTTCCTATTTCTCCAATGACCAACAAAACAAATATGTGTTGTGCAACATTCTGATGGATTCTGAACATCTTTTAGCAATTGTTGTACAATACACTGTGCTTCGTTATGCCATGGGATTGTCAGGGTGGCTGCATACTTGGCCAATGAGTGATAAGCCTGCTCATGAAGTAGCGATGAAGTAACTGAGACGATTAACATTGAGAGAAGATCTCTGTATCCCAGTTCTGGTAGATTTGCTTGAACTAAAGCTTGGAAAAACTCAAGCATTGAATTATTAAATTTAATAATTTGTATGTGATAATAAAGTATCATTGTACCGCAAACAGTATTGGAAAAAGATAGTGAGATAATTTATAAATTAAAATATTTTTGAAAATTTTAAGAAAATATGATAAAGAAAATAATGAATATAAATTTAATAATTTGTGATAATAAAGTATCATTATATATTTATTTGGCCTGAAAAGAGAGAAAGCGAAAATGTCGAGTACAAAAAGTGCAAGCAATGCGAAGAGATTTTATGAAATCTACTAATCATCCATAAGTCTGGATCTACAATAGGTTTTTTTTAAGCCTTAAGCCGTAAGAAATTAATCAACTACAGTCAAATGTGAGGAGAATAATTAATTGTGAATCATCCATTTCTTATAGCTTAAGGCTTAAAAATCTATTATAGATCCGGGGTTACGCAGCTGTTTTTTAATATACAGAAAGGGAGCATTTATATTGGTGTTTATATAACCATATGCCATAATTTGTAAGAATTGTCGAGTATTCCTCTCCCATTCGACAAGAATCTCAAAGATGATTGGTCAATTTTTACAGATTATGGCATACTTGAGAGCGTATACCTCTCAAGTAAGTTCATGGCTTAATTACATGATGCAATGATCAATCAGAACACTTAACATCAGCGCTTTTATAAATATAGGATTCTAGCTGCGTCTAACTGCGTCACTCTCTGAGCAATTAAGTTTGCGATATTTATATTATTAAATTAGCTTATGAATGGAGAATTTTACCATTAATGTTCAACGAACAACAGAAAAAAGAATTAGCCTGTTTGGAAATTGACGAAATGTGGAGCAAAATAGTGGAATGTAAAAATTATAATAAGGAAAAGATCTTTCCGAATTTAGAATTATTGGTTGAAGTAGCTCTTTCTTTTCCTTATTCAAATGCCAAAGCTGAACAAATTTTTTCAGATTTAGAAAAGCATTCGCTTTAATATATGATATTATTTTTTGTAATTCCTATAAATAATAATGTTTTTAAAATATTTTTTTAAGTACTTTTTAATAAAATTAATAATTAATTTTAAAATTAATGTATTTAATTTAATTTTAAAATTAATGTATTTAATTTAATTTTAAAATTAATGTATTTAATTTAATTTTAAAATTAATGTATTTAATTTAATTTTAAAATTAATGTATTTAATTTAATTTTAAAATTAATGTATTTAATTTAATTTTAAAATTAATGTATTTTTAAATTATATTATGTATTTTATGTACTTTTTATTTTATAAAAATTGGAAAAATGACATTTTCATTCTTAAATTATAAGTGGAGTATATAATTTTATGATTAAATCAACTTATATACATATGTATATTAATAAGATTTTCGGCAGTTTTTCTTGCAGCAAATGTTGGTAGATTTATGAGATTCTATCAAACAAAATATTTTAATTTATAAATTATCTCACTATCTTTTTCCAATAATATTTTCGATACAATGATACTATCAACAATATTATCACATACAAATTATTAAATTTAGATTTTTTTTTTTATGAGAATGAATTTAAAATCGTGTGTTTTAATGAATTAATTCCACTTAAATCTCTGTGGGAACATTATTTTGAAGACAAATCTTTTTTTCTTATAATATAGATTGTTAGAAATAAATTACAATCTTCTTACACATGTCTTCCTATTTCTCCAATGACCAACAAAACAAATATGTGTTGTGCAACATTCTGATGGATTCTGAACATCTTTTAGCAATTGTTGTACAATACACTGTGCTTCGTTATGCCATGGGATTGTCAGGGTGGCTGCATACTTGGCCAATGAGTGATAAGCCTGCTCATGAAGTAGCGATGAAGTAACTGAGATTAACATTGAGAGAAGATCTCTGTATCCCAGTTCTGGTAGATTTGCTTGAACTAAAGCTTGGAAAAACTCAAGCATTGAATTATTAAATTTAATAATTTGTATGTGATAATAAAGTATCATTGTACCGCAAACAGTATTGGAAAAAGATAGTGAGATAATTTATAAATTAAAATATTTTTGAAAATTTTAAGAAAATATGATAAAGAAAATAATGAATATAAATTTAATAATTTGTGATAATAAAGTATCATTATATATTTATTTGGCCTGAAAAGAGAGAAAGCGAAAATGTCGAGTACAAAAAGTGCAAGCAATGCGAAGAGATTTTATGAAATCTACTAATCATCCATAAGTCTGGATCTACAATAGGTTTTTTTTAAGCCTTAAGCCGTAAGAAATTAATCAACTACAGTCAAATGTGAGGAGAATAATTAATTGTGAATCATCCATTTCTTATAGCTTAAGGCTTAAAAATCTATTATAGATCCGGGGTTACGCAGCTGTTTTTTAATATACAGAAAGGGAGCATTTATATTGGTGTTTATATAACCATATGCCATAATTTGTAAGAATTGTCGAGTATTCCTCTCCCATTCGACAAGAATCTCAAAGATGATTGGTCAATTTTTACAGATTATGGCATACTTGAGAGCGTATACCTCTCAAGTAAGTTCATGGCTTAATTACATGATGCAATGATCAATCAGAACACTTAACATCAGCGCTTTTATAAATATAGGATTCTAGCTGCGTCTAACTGCGTCACTCTCTGAGCAATTAAGTTTGCGATACACAATGTTTGTTTTCTTGCTGGATTGCTAGTTGGATTAGTATTTTGCTACCGTATTGGCTGTGATACTAGCAGTACTAACATTTTTTTCCAGATAGCAATCCAGCAGGAAAACAAGCAATAAACTCTTTTTCTGAAATTGTATTTGACATTCGTATGCGAAAAATCCGGCGTTTAAGACTAGTAGCATAAAGAAAAACGTAAACACTAAGCAACATTTTTTATTTGCTATTGTTATTGCCTTATTGTTTGTTTGTGATTAATCGATTTACTTACATTATCTAAGTATAAATGGCCTAAAAATATTAATTCTAGACGACTTCGAACAAACTGTGATTATCAGTTATAAATTTTGTAACTTGGACTAGATGAATGCATACTAAAGACTGTTATGTTACGAATTAATTAATGAAATTAAATATAAGAACATGTGTAAATATTGTTAAATGATTAAAAATCTAATAATGATATTACAGAATATATTTTATTATCGAAGTTGATTATACTATATACTGTTGCATTTATATATTTTATATTTAGTAGCCTTTAATATGCATTAATCCAATATGATGTAAGAATTTTCAGCGTAATCCGAATTTACTACAATTCAATCAACGATTAATTTTACTATAGATTATGTAAAGCGAAATTTATTAATTATACAAATGCCATTATGAGAAGTTTCATTTAAAGACGAATCTTAAGAGCGAAGCGATACAGTGTGCCTTCTAACAGACGACACAAATGATATGGTGTGAACAATGGACACAATTACATCTTTGTTATTTGCCAATGTTAAACAAAGATGACATGATCATTGTCACACTCTGTCGCTTGTTGAAAGACACATATTGATAGTGCATAATCTGTCCATCATAGTGGAAATGTCTTGTCTGCCCATATTGATGAAGCGTTATTCTAGGTGCTTGAACTAGTTCTCGCTGTTAACCGGGAGAGTTTTGTGCTATTTCACATGGCCGAAAGTGACTGCTGATGTATATGAAAGCACTGTCAATAAGCTTTAATAATCAGCATTTGATCGGATGCAAAGAACACAATTTTTTATCATATTAAAAATGTTGAGTTTCATATAAAAAAAAAAAGCATTTGCAAGAAGCATTATTTTTCTGTTTTATTCTCAAGAAATCTGCTACTGAAAGTCATCATTTGCTAGTGGAAGCTTATGGGGAGCATGCTCTATCTGTAACAACTTACAGATATTGGTTTAGAAGATTCAAAAACAACGATTTTAACATAAATAACAAAGAGCGCTCTGATCAGCCGGAAAAGTTTGCTTCTACCTCTAACAAAAATTAGTGCGATGCTTTTTCATCTTTATCGTCTTATTGTAAATGAAAATACAGTTAGCCAATGATTGAAGTGTCTAAATTATCCACTAAATATTCAACTATATAATGGATTGTTCGTCGAACAAGACACATTGCATGGATACCACCACATGACAAATCACGACATGATTCTGAGGACACCAACGCGGTTTAAGCAATGTTTACTTTATTCGGCACGCCTTTATACCTCAACATAGAAGATTATCATCTTATCTCGGGCATCTCATTTCAATAGTCATCAAGGCATGTAACTGGAAAATGCTTCACAAAGGAGTTCACTTGGTCAAGTTGCGTCAGCATTACTGGATCCCTTGCGGCAAGTTAACTAATAAGTACTACATTCAGTGTCCTACATCTAAGGGCATTTGATATCTTCGCAAACATTAAACTGCTGCATGGGACTATGCATTGCCTCTGGAAAAAGGCTCTATATAGTGCACATGGAGTGCATTATGCAAGTCCAAGAATCACCAAGAATACTACTAGACTCGCAAGGTTTTTGTGTCCTCAGCATTGGAGCTGTCCACATCAAGATCAATTAGAACACTAAAACATTCCTGACTGTCTTTCGGAAATTAATGTTGCATATAGGTTGTGCGTTACATCGTCCAAAGAATCCATGGCACCAATATGTAGACCATTGAAATGCGTTAACAAAACCAGATTATGGACACATTGATCAATGAAAATATGCAATGAAAATTCATCAATCTATTAATTGCACTTTGAAAGGATCTGAGAGACGACCATGAAATCAATGAAGCATCATCTCTGGCAATTCATTAGAAACACGATTATTACCTTCGAGGAAACATCAATCATTTTTATACAAGTGAAGACATGTCTCAATCACTGCAGACTGTCTGATGATTCCAAGGATTTGACGTTGCTCATGCTAAGACATTTTAATTGGCACCATACTAATTAGCATCATACCAGAACCATTCAATCAATTTTGAGACTGATAGTTTAAAAAATATTTGTACATATCTCATTTTCAAGTGGC